GAGGAGCTGCAGCATGCCGACTTGTCGCGTGACTATCAAAAGGCGGAGCAATTGATACGCATGCATAACGACTCTGTAACCGACATACAGAACACAACTTACGAGGTGCTACAACAGGGACAAGATTTGCTTCAAATGTTCGAAACTGCTGGCATCATTTCGATGGCAGATGCAACACACACAGCGCAGGCGCGCATACAGTACCTCCTGGACTTTTTGGGTGAACGTGAAATTGACCTTGAGGAACTGTCTGAGGCGAAGCGCGCGAAGCTGGAACAAGCTGTACAGTTGTGCCAGTTTCAAAATGATGCCAATCAAGTAATATCGTGGATACGTAATGGTGAAGCAATGCTGGTTGCCAGCTTTGTTACGCCAAATAGCTTACAGGAGGCAGAGCAGCTACGCAAGGAACACGAACAGTTTCAGGTGATTTTGTGTAACACTGTGTGTGTTCATTATTACCATTTTTTAAATTCTCTATCCTTATTTGCTCTAAACAGGTCGCCATTGAGAAAACACACACCTCAGCCGTGCAAGTGAAATATCGTGCCGATGCTCTCATTAATGCCAATCATTACGATCCCCAATCGATACGTGAAATTTCCGACGATGTCACCAAGAAGTGGCAACAGTTGGTTACCTACGCTGAAGAGCGTCACAAACTAGTTACCGCCTCAATGAATTTCTACAAAACCGCCGAACAAGTGTGCTCCGTGCTCGATAGCTTGGAACGTGAGTACCGACGCGAAGACGATTGGTGTGGCGGTGGTGGCTCTAGCGACAAAGCGCAAACCATTGTGCAATTGATTTCAAAGCATCAGGAACAAAAGGAGGCATTCCTCAAAGCGTGTACACTTGCACGTCGCACCGCCGAAACATTCCTTAAATATGCAAATCGTTCACAACAGTACTACAAGTATCAGACGCAGGGTAATTGCGAGACACATGTTCGCACCATACTCGACAAGTTGTTGACTCAGGAAAATCAGGTGCTTGAATTTTGGACACAACGCAAGAAGTCGCTGGATCAGTGTCAACAATTCGTGCTGTTTGAGCGTAGCGCAAAGCAGGCAATCGAATGGATACACAACACCGGCGAGGCATATCTCTCGTCACGCACGAATCTCGTGGGTAAGACCCGCGAAGAGACCGAAGGTCTGCTCAAAGAGCATAACGAATTTCGCGGTACCGCGAAGGAAACGCGCGAGCGTGTAAAACTGCTAATACAGTTGGCCGATAGTTTGGTTGAGAAGGGACATGCGCATGCTAGCGCCAT